TAATCTTATAAACTTATATAGTTGAAAATCAATGAAAATAATATCAGTGTTCAAAATTATATTAATGAATACTGGCATAGAATTTATAAAATAAAAAATATATCGGGAAATAAATAAAATGTGACATTTAATGGTCTTGGGAACATTATCTTCTATACTAAAATATGAAATACTAACAATGCAAATGATCTTAATTTATTTAAAGTTATGTAATAGTAAAAAATACCTTAGTAAAACAGATGGTCTCCAACTGGGTGGAGTAATACATTTTATATGGCGATAACAAACTAGCACTAATTTAAGTACCCAATTTCATTATTTAATCTAAAAATTTACTGTTTAAAAAGTAATATTAGATTTTGGTTATTATTTACTTGATAATTTTTGGAGGGATAATAATCATTTAATATTTTATAAAAAAATATATAAAGGGATTGCACAAGTAATTAAATCTTTTTTCAGATAATTTGTATTATTTATCAATACATTTACAGTTTAAAGTACTTTTATACCTAGAGTACTAATATATAGGTATATTCAATTGTAGGTAAACAATAGGAAATAATATCTGAGAAACACTTAACCCTATTAACAAAATCAAATTCTATACAATAAGCACAAAATATTAATGAGTTTTTTCCACAAGAGATTATAACATATTCAATTTTTTATTTTAATAGATGTAAAAAAACATAATATATATCATAGATTTTCAGTATTGTCTAATTGTCTTGTTAATCGGGTAATCATTTATTTTATTGCTATACATTTGTTAATTACAAAACATTAACACCTAAAGTACATAATATACCTGTATAAAATATGTCACAAGACAAATTAAAAGGTACAATTAGTCTGTTAAGTGATCATATTTTTGATAATTTGACTTCTCTAATATAAAATTAAACAAATAAGATTAGTTTTTGGGAAATTAAAGGGAAATCAGCAGTCATTTAACGTCATATAATTTCATAACTGATCAAACCTAACATCAACTCAAATAGTAGTTGGACAATAAGTATTAATGCCATTAACTGTACACCGAAATTTTGTGACTTATTAACCAGATCTATTATAGAAAGTATTTTAGGAAATTACTAAGAAAGAACTTCTTTTTCATGCATACATAAAAATTCGATATTTTTAACTTATTATAAGCTATTGGGATGTTATTTTTTTATAGGAAATTTACACCATTCTATAAATTTACCTCTGTAACTAGTAGTGATAAACTATTAATTTTCTTGACCAACTTCAAGATCTTCATTAGTGTCTACCAATTTTCTACCCTTGGGTTATATTGTGAACATGGGTATTCATGTGTTCTACTTTTGTAATTTGAAGAATTTTCTTTTAATATTTTTTTTAATTTAAATTTAAAAAAAAAGTTCTTAAGTTATAGAAGTTCGAAAAGTCTTCAAGTCAATTTATATATTAACTTGTCAGTTTGAAATAATCTCTTTTCTTTGAATATGTTCTTCAGGGAATGAATAAAAAATTGAATATGTGAGAAATCTTGATTAAATACTTTGAAAGCTGAAAAACTGCATTAAGTAATTGATTATTTTTTGAACTTATATATTCCTATATGAGAAAAACCCGAGAATATGAGGAAAAAATAATGGAATAGCAAAAATTAATAAAATAAGCTTAGAAAAAACACTAGATTGCCGGATTGGGTACTTAGATCGAACGTTTTGACTAAAAATATTTAAGACTTACCTACGTGGATAATAAGAACTTGAACGTGACCTATCGTACCGTGATCTGCGTTCTCTGTAGTGGCCTCCTGCTCCACCATCATTTCCTCTATCACCCCTGTATCCACCCTCAAAGTAATCACTAATAACAAATAATTGTTTATTACCATGATCTATATGTAAATTGTAAAATTGTAATACAAATATATATTATTTATTAAGAATATTAATTCAATTTCAAAATAAGAATAACTACTCACTCATAATCTCTAACTCTTTCATATCTATCATAACGTTCTCCGCGGTCATACCAATCACCACAATCATATCTATCATAACCTCTTCTCCGCGATGACCTTTCTTCCCTCAATCTAAAATTTTAAAACACAAAATAATAATTTCTAAGTACAAAATCACAAAACCAAAAATACTCATGTAAAAAAATGTAATTACGTTCGTCTGCCCATATAAATGCCAGGTGTTGGCCTATGAGGGCGTTTGGTAGTTGAAAAATCTACTCGAATTCGGCGGCCGTCAATTTCCAAGCCAGAGCATTCTACTCTAGCTACCTTAGCATCTTCATGATTTTTGAAATAGGCAAAACCAAAACCGCGAGACTTTCCAGTCTGAAATAAATATTACAAATTATAAAATTGTACCAAGTAATTGGTTTATTTTTAACTGCTTACTTTAGGATCCATAATAATAATCATTTTGTTGAGGTCACCATATTTTACAAATATATCGTAGAGTTTATGTTCTGTAGTCAACGAACTTAGGCCAAATATGCCAAGACATTTGTTAGGTTTTGAGTTTTCCTAAAACAAAACAATATTTCTTTAAAAAAAATCGAAGCAAATTGAGGTAAAAATGGGCGGGTAATTAATAGTGTTATTATGTTATTTACGAATCCCGGAAAAAAAATCCCCCGACAAACAACCCCGGAAAAAAAATCCCCATACTACAATATTATTCGCAATCTCATGCAAATGGTTGAACAAATATTTTTTAAACGTTAATTAGTATCTATAATTAATATTTAATTACAAATACGTATATTATATTCTATTATAATATAATATATTATTTTATATTGTTAAAAAAATTATATATTATAAATAATATTTTGTTTTAAATTACGATAATATATTATGTGTAATTCAAATTAAATAACTAACTTAACAACGTTACAAATAGGTGTAGAATATAAAAATATTTTGAATGATCGATACGTCAAATAATACAGTTAAACACATAGTATACAAAAATAATATAAATAATTTTTGAAAAATTTATAACAACATTTTATACTACTATATTAATACACATTTTATGTTGGTATAATTCTGTAAAAATTAAATCCCTGAAATAAAATATTACGTTTTCAAAACTTAAAATATTACTTATGATTGTTGTGTGAGGTGTAGTGTACACAAATATATAAAGTACAAAAATATTTCGAGTGATCGATACGTCAAAGAATACAGTTCAAAACATAGTAGGTATATAAAAATATTATAAAAAATTTAAAATATAGGTGGTAAATGGTAATATCAATGGTAAAAACATAACATATACCTACCTACAAATATTTAGTAGGTATAATTTAGTAGGTATACAAACATTTTATACGAAATATAGGTGGTAATAATAATGATAATAATAATAATTATAATAATAGTAACATTTTTATCAAACAATAAATAAAAAATATAGGTACCTATATTTTGTATAATATTTTTGTATACTATGTTTTTAACTATATTATTAATTGACGTATCGATCATTCTAAATATTTTTATAATTTTTTTTAACAATATAATATAATATACGTATTTGTCATTAAATATTACTTATAGATACTAATTAACATTCAAAATATATTTGTTCAACCATTTGCATGTGATTGTGAGTAATATTGTAGCTGGGGATTTTTTTTCCGATTACCGTTATTTACATGGCTGCTGCGTCGACGATCTCCAGAATACGAACGGTACCTTGAGTATGAATGCCTCGAGTTGGTCTTATATTTTCTGCCGTTGTGGCTGGGTGGCCGAGAAAGCGATCCAGAACGAGTGTTCGAGAAAGTGGATGATCGACTGCTAGAATTGTGATCGCTCGGCGATCTGCTACGGCTTCGGTTGGAAGAGGTAGAACTCCCGTGGCTGTCCTGTAACAATAAAACCGACGGTTGTAAACATGGGTCTTATACAGTAAATAAGCAGGGCGATAGGCTCGACGAAAACAATTGCGAGCATTGCATTTGAATTGAATTCACTCCGAAAATGCGAGAAACGGCGTCAAGTTTGACTACGACTAGCATGGACGGTAATGCGGTAGTACTCCAAAGTTGTTACTCACCTCGACGTCACTCATCTTCGAAGCTCAATTCAAGTGTTTGTCCGTCACCGAATTAATTAAATCTCGTTCGACACGAGACCAGTCGACAATCCTCGACAAGGGGTCGGATTAACGGTGGTGCAGCAAAAAACCGATACGACCGCAAGTACAACTTCAACAGCAACATGTATTTCGCTCTCGCCTTGAGTGCAGGAAACGAAAAAAAGTATTGAACAGCAGAACACAAAATATTGTATAATATAGGGAGAGACGCCATAGACCTTATACTTATAGACGGAACATCCTTATCCTACCCAATGTACTAGTACGGTCATGAGAAGTTGAGATGCAGTGTTGCCCATTCTTCGAAACAAAATTATTTTTTTAAATGTCCAAACAATAACTATTGTGATAATATTGGCGCTCGAAAAACAACTACTACGGACTGTGACTGCCTTAAAATTAAAACTCCACTACCTATATACTATTATAGTATTATAGTATTATTCTATGAACTGCCTACAACTCAGGCTAGTGCCTACTGAGTATCGAACACTGGAATGGTATAGAAATGAAGAAACGAAATGTTGTACTAAAAAGTTAAAAATTTATTCATGTAATCAAGACTTAAACACAAAAAGGTAATTAAATATCATTGTGGGCCTAGGATATATTATATTATGTTTGTACATTAAAAAGTTAATAAAATAATTATATTGTGCGACCAATGACTTTTGTAGTCGAGGCCTTGTTTGTAAAATAAAAATAAAAAATAATATTGTATAGTACTATAGTATAATTAAATTTTAAATGTTTATAAAACTGTTTCTCAATAGGTAATTCAGTAAATTCATAATAATGATAATAATAATAGTCTTAAATAATTCAATAAAAAAAAGTATTGGTGTGTCCATTAGGTATATAGGTATTACAAATTAATAAATAAATAGTTGATGACTATTATTCATTGCGAAAAAGAATTAATTTTGTTAATTTTTGCCTCAATTTAATTTTGTTATGATTAGATTCTTTAGCTGCATGGTGTAATCTGACATCCAAATATATATAAATAATAAGTGCTATTAATTGGTCTCTATGGTTATTAAATAGATTTTGACTTAAACAATGATCATCTAATTCCTGAAAATTTTTTTTGGTACTGCTGTATATAATATGTCTTTTTATTTTAGTGAATAAACTATTTTTAATATTATTTTTGAAAATATTGTCACAACTTCTAAAAACCCTTTCAGCTATTAAACAAATGTCTACTACATCTCTAAATGGTTTTATTAATGCATCATTCCTGTCTTTCAAATTAATTAATATATTATTAGTAAACGTTTTATACAAAGACTGTTGACAAATAGCACAGTTAATTTTTTTCAAAGTTTTTTTTACAACAAATCCTCCTATATACTCACTAATGTTTTCAACCAAAGGGGATAAACGTTTTAATGATTGAAAATATGAGTGGTCATGCTCTACCACTATAGCTTCATCTGTCTCATTAATTTGGCTTGTAATAGAATCGGGTCCCACATTAACTACAGATAGTTCAGTGGGATCTAACATTGCTAGGCAATTTCCGTACTGTGATGCTGTTGCTTGATTGTGTACAAGAAGTTTTTTATAAGCTGTAAAAAACTGTTTGCAAGTTGGGTTATTGTTATGACCCCCTCTCATTCTAACAGCACTAAAAAAAGTTTCAATATGGTCTTGTGAAAGTTTATAAGACAGTAAATAATTTAAGCCATATTTTGAATTTAGATACTCATATAAATTTAACAAATTTTTTAGACCATAAACTAAACCAATGAACCCAGTTTTTCGATTAGAGTCGATTATTCTTTGACCATTTTGGAACTTTAAATTAAAAATATATTTTTCAAATATTTCTGTAAATTCTCTATATTTATTAACTGTGTTGATGTCCAAACACAAATTATATGGGTTCTTAGAAAATTTTGTGCGACAATTCATAATATCAAACGCATTATTTACTAAACCACAGAATTCAGCAGTACCTTGACTCCCTTTAAAACTGCTATATCCTAAATGATCACAACATTTTAGTGCATTTGAAACACTATTACTCATAACTTGGGCTGCAAGTTTAACATTCATTTTCTCGTTAAAATAGAAAATATGCCTTCTTGATAATTTAGTTGCAAGTTTTAAGCCTTCATTATTTTCTTTATCATATAATTTTTTAATATAGTCCCAATTAATTTCCTCGTTTTTATCATTGTATAGTAATTTTTTATCCCCAAAAGTATTTCTTATTAATTTTATCATGTGACATGCATCATAAAAAATAAAAACTGGTTCTTTAGAAACTGGATGTTCAAAAAAAAACCTAGATTCACTCGTACTTAAATTAGCTCCTAAATATTTACACATAGCTGTATTAGTATGAGCACCATCAAAAGTGATGGAGTGTACTTTTGCTCCAGTTTCATGCATAAGTTCTAAACATTTTTGCAATAAATTTCCACGTTCACTTCCGTTTAAACTATTTATTAAAAAGTAACCGATGGGCATTTTCCAATGCCCATTCAACCCTACAGCTAAAAAAACTAATGCATATGTTGCATGTGGCAATTCGTCAGTGTCTATGTTTATTCCAGTACCCAAATCGACAAACCCATACATTTTTTTACCATTATATTCTATCTGATCCCTTATTGATATTTCATCAATTACAATATTGCATAGAACAACTTCGTCTTTAGCTTTAGATGCTATAGCTAAGAATGATTCATTTGAAAATCCTGGCTCCCCATTAATTACTTTGTACCATCTTGTTATAGACTTGGGATGAGGAAGAACGTCAGCAAAAGATTTCCGAACAAACGTATAAGCCTTGGGGGAGTAAAATTGAAGGGTTATAGCAAATTTTCGAAGCTCATTTGAATATTGAGTCTTTTTACCAGCCATTTTTCTTTTTATAATATCCCGTAGAACATCTGAACCAGAAATCTATTAAAAAGAAGAAAACAACAAAATCTTAAGAAATTTTTATTAGAGGTAAGCAAATAAAACAATTTACCACATCTATGCCGCTACCATAACTTCACAATTAATTCATTAAATGTTTAGTGATTGTTCATGCAGTTAAAAACATAAAAAAAATCATATTAAAACAAAATATAAATGGTAATTTTAACAACAATGCACCAATCATTTAGTATTATTTAAATATTATGGAGTTCATACAAATTACACAATATGCTAATATCCGCTTCTGGTAATAGATTTAAAAATATCCATAATCCACATTTATTGTTTAATGATAATAACCGCGGTGCACCGGCTTTACTGCCCTTGTTCAGGCCCTGATCCTTGACGCACCTATATGAATATAACAATAGTGAACAAGACCGAGATGTTCATCGGTTTTATTAGACCCACAACTTACACAAAAAGCCTTTTTTCATAATCAAAACACAAAAATGAGCATACACTGACCTGAAGTTGATTAGCTGCATTTTCAGATAAAAATTGCTTATCTTTTAAAGATTCAATTAAATCTTCATATGAGTTAATTTTATTTTTAAGACTATTTACTTGTCTTTTCAATTTATTTGATTTTATTTGCTTTTCAGAAAATATTTGCTTGACCATTGTTAAATGTCTTTTTGCTTTTTTAGGTGTGCAAAAATGATCAACATCTAAATTCCCAATATTGTGAGCATTAATTAACCTACGTTTTTTAGCTAAGCTTGGCGGGGAAGATAAAATAGAGCCATGTTTCAGTGGTGAACTTTCATTATTAAATAATTTTTTTCGAGCAGGTGTTCTGAAATAAATTATTAAGGTAGTTATAATATCATTGTTTTACTCCATTGATCAAACATTCATACTGATGAGAGTAAATAACTGAATACATTTAATTTAACCTTTTTAATGAGCTAGAAGCTGGACTATCAGATGCATTTTGAGTACTTGAATCAGGGACTGAATGCTCATCAAATTGACTAAAAAAAATTTGCATTATGGTGAAGTAGTTAATAAAACAATAATAATTTTATATTATAGAATATTAAATACATAGGTACCTAGTTGCAGCAAAAGCTGATAATCTAACACTAGGTACTGCATTTTTCTTCAACAAGCCATTTGTTAAGATATGTTGGGGTGAAAAATGGTTGGAACAAACTCTATAAGAAGGAAGGCACAATTTAATTTGGCATTCATTCATCCATAACTGTTTAAGGCCTTGTTCTTTAGGAAATCTAAAAAGACAATTTTTGGCATATTGTTGGTTAAATGACATAATAATAGTTCTAAAATATCAACTTACGAGTGAAATGAAACACCAGAATTAACAATTTCTGGTATTTTGCAAACAATACATTTTCGACCCATGTTGCTTGACTACCAGAAAAATGAATGTAATAAAAGACTCGAAAATATTTCTTAATCGTCGTTTTTTAAAATATAAAAATCAAACGACAAAACATTCAAAAAATAAAACAACAGTCAACAGGTGGAATGATAACAACAATCGTACAATATTTGTACAATATATTGATATGGATTTTTATCTAGTGCGCATGTGCGATGTGCTTCGGTGCTTCGTGGGACGCAACATATCGTCAACATGAGTAACTACTACATGTTCCGTCTATAAGTATAAGGTCTATGAGAGACGCAGACGCTGAACAAAAACTTTGTGAGATAGAGGATATCAGTATATCACTTCCGTCACGCTAAGCCATTGTCACAAGTCACTTTTTCAGTGTGGCCAACGTGCGTGTGACTCCTTCCACTACAGTACTAAACTTGGGCCAAACAACAACGCTCGTCCGACGGCGTTTTTCGGAAATTTATTGGTTCACCCTTATGGAAATTGTCCCTTTAAGGGGCCTCAACAATGACATTTATTAAGGAACATTATAATATAGGCAATTTCTAAACTACTGTTGTGGATATGTTAGTAATTGTATACTCGTAAATAGACATTAGTGTTAGTAAGTCGGTTAGCTTGTGCCGCGTCGGGTGACAACGACGCGATGGTTGAGAATGGTCACTTTACGCACTCGCAGGCACATGTCAAACGGCTTGTTCGAAACAAATGCAAAGAAAAATTTCGCCCTAAAGACACGATTCTACTTTTAACAGTACGCTCTTATAAATACTCCGATTTAAGAGGACGCCACACCCGCATGTGTTGTCTCCGTCTTACAAAATATGTACAACATAGCAAAAACTCTTTTGCGAGGGACAACTTTTCTCGCACCATATTTGTTGTAGAACTACCAAATTTTCACAGCACTTAAAGAAGAACTTTATCTGTGCAACAGCGTGCTCTTTTTTTCAATAACATATATACAATACAAGTTATTTGCTTCTAAACATTTGGTTTTTTAATTTGCTTATAAAAAATGATTGGATGGTGCTATTGAAAAAAAGAGCACGCTGTTGCACAGATAAAGTTCTTCTTTAAGTGCTGTGAAAATTTGGTAGTTCTACAACGAATATGGTGCGAGAAAAGTTGTCCCTCGCAAAAGAGTTTTTGCTGTGTTGTACATATTTTGTAAGACGGAGAGAACACATGCGGGTGTGGCGTCCTCTTAAGTTTTGAAAAAACTTATAAATTCTTAATAACATTTCCAAGGCATCGCTCGTGATACAATTTAAAAAATATTTATAATTATTTAATTATTTTGACTTGAAAAGTTACAATTTTTTAAGTTTTGTAATCAAATTGAGTTAAATGAATATAAAAAAGGTGGGTAAGTGGATGTCGCTCTGCTGTACAGTAGGTTACAAGTGGGTCACCGTATAATGGATGCTATTAAATTTGAATTCAATGATACAATATCATTGTATAATGAAAATGATTCTGAGTGGAGACGGTATGTCAGTCTAGGTAGGTATAAGACAAATTATATACATAGGTATCTATGGTATTAATACAAAAATTGACCTATAATAAATTCCAAATTACCTAATCATATCACATTATCACAATATCCATTAGATACTTATGACACGTTATACATCAACATCAATAACAAACCCTGATACTATCGTAGATATATAATATTACACTTTAGAAGTTTCAAGTAGGTACCCACGAATAATATAATATAATCACAACAAAATAACTAGGTTTTAGATTCTGAGTGAAACGATGAATGTATTGATTTTACAATGATGTGTGTTTTTTTATTTTTTTTTGTGTCTGTGTACACGATAAGTAGTCGAAATAATGCTTCGATTTTCGACTTCAGTATCTTGTTCGATTGGAAAGTGAATATCGTTGGTGCATTGGGGAGGTCAAAATTTAAAATTCCCAGTACTTTTCAAAAGCGCCAAGAAAAACAAAAGAAAAATTAAGGAAAAACGGGAATTTTTACGCAAAATCTGTTTTCCAAAAAGTGTTAAAATTTAATACAAAGCTCCTGATATATTGTTACAATATCAGTTGAAAAATATTAAAAATACATAGGCACAATTTTTTTTAATAAGCATTTAAACATCGAATTTTGACAGAATTTTTCAAAATCTTGAAAATTATTAATCATTGTAATTATTAAATTATAAAATGTTCATGTTTCGAGAAATGGAACATCCAATGTTGTAAAAATTTGAATTTCAAACGCTCATAAAAGTTTAATTTGACTGTCCGGTAGAGATTTTTTTATTGATAAAGGTAGACAAACGTATGAGTAATCTTGTATTACATTTTTAAATCTTAGATTTAAAAAGAAAATTTTTTACGAATTCTTAACTCAAAATAATTTTCTAATTTTCGTGACTTTTCCATATTTTGTCAATTTTTGAACTTTAAATGCTTATAAAAAAAAACTGTAACTAACGATTTTTAATAGGTATTTTTCATCTGCCTTTGGAACAATATACTAGGAGCCTTCTATTAAATTTTCAAGTTTTTTTAACCAACAAATAAAATTTTATTGATATTTCTAGAAAAAAAACCAAAAAAAAATGAAAAATGAAAATGACCCTAAACT